GGGATTAGAACACCTCTCAGATTTTTATTGTTGTCTGTGTCCCCATTAGGGAGATTCACCCTCCCTATTTGTCTTGGTGACCTTCATCAGAACAGGAATAGATGGGACATCTTCCAATGGGGATACTACTTCCGGTGACCCTGTTGATCACCAGATATTCCCTCACTTTAGAGGGGTTTCCACACACTTTCTGTTGTGGCTATCGGACAGGAAGTGAAGGGAAATCTCCCAAATTGGACACATGGGGGAAAAAATAATGGGTTATTACCCTCTATTACTAAAACTGGGCTGAGTTCCACTTCAACTAGTAATATAGGAAACTGCGGGATGAAAGCAGAGAGCATGTCTTGGCACCTTTTAGTGTTTTTCTTGTCAGTTCAGACCCATCTCTTACGTTTTGCATGTCAACAGATTCTAGTGAACAAGACGAAACCTCAAGCATCATTACGCAGGAGATAGACGCACCACCGGTTCGGATCCTTCCTAGTTTTCGCACCACGGAAGCTTCTCAGAAGTTGCCTCAGTACCTACCTCCTGCTGACGAGGACATCCTTGGACCCCTGCCTGAAAACTGGGAGATGGCCTACACAGAGAATGGAGAAGTCTATTTTATAGAGTAAGTGCAATATTTTCCCCCTGTATTCCATAAACCTGAATGTGCTGTGTGTAGAAGGTCTGCCAATAACATTTCTCCAATATGTAGGTAAAATATCCCATACTTGTATAATTCATGATATTTTATTACATTGATATACACTTTCTGTGTAGCCAGTTAGGTTAAGGGAGGCCATAGATGGGCTGCAGTGTACTAAAGGAAATATAAAGGTTGTCATTGCTGTTTCTCCTCCTAGAAATGCTAGCTACCTGGCTGGGCATCCCTAACTTTTTGCCCCCTGAGGTGGCAGCAGGAGGTGAGGGTGGTGTCCTGCCAAGCTCCTGGCAACCAGTGTTGTCACCAGTTGCCAAGACTTCTGCAGGTTGCTCTGGCCGGCATCCAGCTGAGCTACTGGCAACCAGTGATGTCACTGGTTCCTAGGACCTCAGCAGGAAGCCGTGGCCAGCGTCCCAAGTTGCTAAGAGCTGGGCGGAGAGGTGTGTATGACCCTTACACATCTCCCCACCTGGCTCTTACACCTCTGTATGGCCCTTACACCTCCCCCACGAGATGTCGCCTGAGGTAACAGCCTTAGGCTGCCTCATTTTTAGAACGGCTCTGTCTGGGGTTTCAAAGTTTCTCATTCATCGGTATGCAGTTTAATAAGTGTTGTCACCCTAAGTGTGTTACTGACAGGATCACCTGCTGAAACTAAAAGGAAAAAAAGCCAGAAAAATAAACCTAAGGCAGCCATCATGTCATAGGACTGGCAATCTGCAATATATTGCAGTTTTGTTCTGGGGTGTAGATTTCAAAAGACTATAGTTCGCACTTTCAATGTGCTACTTAAAAATCGCATCAGAAATTGAGATTAGCAACGAGTGCTGGATCTTCGTCCAAAGCACTGTTTATGCAAATACATAATTCATCGCAGAAGCTGCAGCTTCAGACCGAGACCGTCTTCCCCCTTAAAACAAATGATAGCTGCTTTCTAATGAGTACTTGACTGTTGTACAACTCTGCTATGTATTACTGCTCCCTTCTGGCGGTCATGCATTTTAAATCCTCTTGAAAGCTTCCAGTGTTAATATTTCAGCGTGTGATTTGTTGACGGGTTACACTTTCAATTTGCATGGTTTTCCCCTCAAACAATGATCGCCTTACTGGGAAAAAAAGAAGAAAAAAAAAAACAGGAAAAAATTGCAGCGCAGCAAGCAAAAAGAAAAAAAACCTTAAAACCAGAAGAACCGGATGCTTTCTACACTAAGGCTTGTTTATTCATACACATCACTGTCTCTGAAGGATCTATTAATTCCTCACACAGAACAAACCAGACCTCTACGCAGTTCACATGGTGCTTGGTGAAGCAAGAAGCCGAGCAAATCCCTTAACAACTCCTTTTTGGTGGGGAGGGCATAACGGGGGATATTGTGTTTGGTCTTCATCATCTGGGATTTGTGAGCACCGAGGCCTCCTGTCTGCCATTTTGGTGAACTGCATGTGGATTTTTTAAACTGACCCCCGGACAGTATTGAAACTCTAATATTATATAACCCTTTAATGTGAGGGAGAGGAAACCTGTCAACCAATCAGCCTTGCCCTTTCAAGGAATATTCCATGGAATTCATTAAGAGTGTTGAAAAACCTGTTTTGCAGTAGTGAGACAAATGGCAGAACAGCAAATATGAATCTTTTTTGCAACTCTGACAGCTGTGGTATCACAAGGGGGGTGCGGCCCACACTGGGTGACACCATCAGAAGGGGTGACACCAGAATGACTGAGTCATTTTAGTGTTACCCCCACTGAAAAGTCGAGCACTAGGTCATCGACTGAGAACCCAACAGCTGCACAAGAGAGGAGGGGACCCGGTGGCATACCTTATTCCACCAGATGAATGTCCCCTCCTATCCTTGCCGACGTCCATCACCAAGATGGCCGCTGACAGTGATATGCATTGCATGTTCTCCCTGTGCTTGTGTGGATTTCCTTCGGGTTCTCTGGTTTATTCCTACACTCCAAAGACATGCTGGTAGGTTAATTGGCTCCAGTCTAAAGCTGGCCATATACTAGTAATGTTTTTCTTGTTCAGCCCTGCAGGCCGAACAAGAAAAAAAAGCTTGATTCCCCCATCCACGCTGTGAATCCATGCCGGGCTACTCTATTACGACAGTGGCAGGTATGTAGCTCTTTGTATACCTGAACGATGACTACAGCTGAAGGCCGTAGGGCCTGTTAAAATTAGAATTTTCAGACCTTTTGTTGAACACAGTGGTGCCGACAGGGCCGCACAGTGCTCCAACTTCATCAAACTCAGCAGGACTAGGTCAAAACTCAAGAAGTGTATGGCCAGCTTAAGCCCTCAATTATACTCGAGCATGAGAGCTTTAAGGCGATTTCACATTTTTTGCAAATATTTGGTGTTTTTTTTTTTAAGGCATTTTCAGGATTTTGTGATTTTTGTTAGGAAGAGGATGCGGTTGATAGGTACAAAATTGCACCTGCTGAAGCCTATGGGGTCAAAAATGTGAGTCTCTGGCCAAAACATATCTCATGCACTTTCCCGAATGACAAGTGACACCAGGCTCTGGTGCGAACGTGCACCACTGAAAAGAATCAAATTCTTCATGTTGAGCCTTACGGTGCTTGGGAAATACATGATAGGGGCCACAATGGCCCTTGTGTATGTATGTATTTGTGTATGTATGTATGTATGTAAGGTAGGGATCTTAGATTGTAAGCTCCTTGAGGGCAAGGACTGATGTGAATGTACAGTCAGTAAAACTGCTGCATTAATTGTTGGCGATATATAAATACCTGTAGTAAAAAAAAGGTCCCGTGTTTGTGTTATAATGTTGTCAGGTACTGCATTCCCTTTTATTAATATAAGCAACACCCAATAATGGAGTACTCTATGGAGATCTAATTTACTCATATAGTCCGTACAGCAACCAGGGAATGAAGGAGCCAATTTACTTAGTATATACACTCACTGGCCGCTTTATTAGGTACACCTCTTCAACTGCTCGTTAACACAAATATATAATCGGCCAATCACATGGCAGTAACTCAATACATTTAGGCATGTAGACATGGTCAGGATGATCTTCTGAAGTTCAAACCGAGCATCAGAATGGGTTGCCTGGTCTGATGAGTCTCGATTTCTGTTGCCACATTCGGATGGCCAGGTCAGAATTTGAGGTAAATAACATGAAAGCATGGATCCATCTTGCCTTGTATCAACGGTTCAGGCTGGTGGAGCTTCACATCATGGATATGCAGCCGACAAATCCGCAGCAACTGTGTGATGCTATCATGTCAGTATGGACCAAACTCTCTAAGGAATGTTTCCATCACCTTGTTGAATCTATGCCACGAAGAATGAAAGCAGTTCTGAAGACAAAACGGGTCCAACCCAGTACTAGCAATGTGTACCTAATAAAGTGGCCAGTGAGTGTATGTTGTTATAGTCTTTGCTTTCTTCATGATTCATATGTCTCATTTTGTACAAGAGAAAATTGTTGTTAAAGGAAAGGTCTGATTTTACTGAAAAATAGACAGAACATGAACAATTGCTGTATAAACCGTTCTGCAATTTAATGCTATGACCTTTCCATTCCGGTCTACTGTCAGCTATTATTTTCTGACATTGCTGAAAAAGATTCCTATGTGTCAATTACTTATAACCATAGCAACACCGGGGTGCGCCGTACACTGTGTGTGTGTAGGGTTGCCACCTTTTCTTCAAGTGAAACCCGAACACTCTAGCGGCGCACGGCCATTTTTTGAGGAGAATGAGTGGTGGCTTATTCATATGTAAATAGCGCCGCCCATTCATATGTAAATATCACAATTGAGACTATTTTCATTGGGAGGCCAGTAGCCCCTATCTTAATTTTGGTTTCCCCAATCTGCCTGGCATCATGTGTCCGGGTTTCTGCTGCCATGAAACCCGGACACAGCATTCAAAACCCGGACTGTCAGGGTGAATCCTATACAGGTGTCAACCCTATGTGTGTGTGTGTGCAGATCTTCTTCAGATATGTCTTTCCCTGCATGTGTCATTGGTTTACTCATGTCTGCACAGAGCTGTTGGTGGAATTTCCGCCATCCCCAGTCTCTGTCTTAGGTTTGCTGCAGTGAATCAATGAGTATTGTGCTTGCTGGGATGCAGATAAAAATGTAAGATGCGTGTAAATGTTACAGACATGCTGCATCCTGTTTGTTTTACATGATACCCAAATTTATTCTTATCAAAAACAAACCGCAAGTGAGCATTTTTGTTTCATAAATATCACCTTGCTTATTTCCATAAGACTGTGCAAAGTGCATCAGTGATGTAAAAGATTTTAAAAGGATGCCGTCCCCCATATTTCTCACAGCACAGGTTTCCTTCAAAGCCCTATCGAACTTTCAGTTTAAATCAGTTAAATAGATTCTAAATGCATTAAGCAAAATGCGCTCATCAACTTCCAGTTCGTTTCTTTACAAACAGTCACAACTTGAGTAGAAAAGCCTGTCCCCTTCCAGCATGCTGTAGAGAAGGACTCCTGCTCCCTGTGTGGAGGCAGTGGTCTCTCTGCAGAGGTCCAACACTTCCCCTGCTGAGTCAGTTTTTTAGCTCTGCAGTCAGCAAATCTTATTCTCTTTCTTGCTCTGACATAGCAGGACGTGTGCCAGACCTTTACTGCTTCTGCACAGAGAGCAAGAGACCTTTTCTAGGACATGCTGGCAGTGGTCAGGCTTTTCTACTCGGGCTGTGGCTGCTTTCTAAAGAAATGAGCTGTGAAACTTTACATACTCTTGTTTTGATGCACCTGGAATGTATTTAACTTACCCAAATTAAATTGGGTTTTGACTAGTTGTGGACACTAGGCTTGCTATACATGCCCCAAAGAAAACTTTATTGAAATACACAGGTTATGTTTAGTATGCTCTGTCCTGTCCCGCTGCTGCTACTGCTTCGCCTTTGCTAGTAATTCCTGGCTGTCAAATGATAGCCAGGAGTTGTGTAAATACAGGGGCTGTAGAAGCTGCTGCTGACAAAAAAAGACCCTTCTGACACAGTGTTTATATACATTGAGGGGAATTTATCAAAACTGGAGCAGATTTGCACTGCAGCCAATCAGCTTCTCTCTCTCAGTTTCAAATCTTACCTGAACAAACTGAAGAGAGAAGCTGATTGGTTGCCCTGGACAACTGCTCCAGATTCTGTTTGCTACAGTTTTGATAAATTCCTCCCCATTGTTCAGAAGTGGGAGAGAGAGATACAATGTAACACTGTTACTTTTCTATCTTGTCTGTTTTATTCATCTGCAGATCAGAGATATAGGCCCCTTTTACACATTGGCTGAGCAGAAAGGAATCAATGCATGGCTGCCCATAGACTATCATTGGGCATCCAATCAGGTTCGTTTGAAAAACTGACGGGTGTACCCGATTGGACCACCAGTGTGAAAGGGGCAATACCTTGATATGTATATGGTGTCAATTAAAGCAACTTAACAAGTAAAAAAGCAAAAACTAACACTTTTTTTAATTTTGTTTCTGTTTTATCCCCTTATTAAACTTTATTTTACCCCATCATCCTTAATGTATTTATTCTTCTACTTAATTATTAATGATCAGATTTTTGCTGTTTGTTTTCTAAGGCCCCATTCACACTGAGCGACATGAAAATCGCGCGATTTTGCGCGACGAGCGATATAGAGCGATATTGAGCGACGTCTTCCTATTGGGCTGTATGCAATCAGGAGCAAAATCACTCAAAATCGCTTGAAAAAAAGGTCATGTAGGAGCGACAAGCTACCAGCGACGAGCTACAAGCGATATTGAGCGATATTGAGCGACGAGATGTGAACAGCTCCATTGAAATGGATTGGAGAAGCTACATGGAGCGATATCGTGTGGAAATATGAGCGATATCGCTGCAAAAATCGCTCGATAAATCGCTCAGTGTGAATGGGGCCTTATTTAATTTTTTTACATTTGTTTATATTTTCTAGTGTTGCATTAAAAATGTTTTTTCAAAAGCTCTCATTTTAAACAGGACAAATTATAGAATCAAATGTATATTCTTTATCTACACTAATGTTAGACTTGCACTTTTTGTTTTAGATTTAGTTTTTTACATTTTGTGTATGGTTTGCAAAAAAAAAGACCAAAAGAAAGCCCTGTTTTACCTAAAGAATGTTTTTATTAATTTGTTATTTAAAGTAATGAAAAAGATATTGCTCAATAAACCGGCCCATAGCAGAAATGTAAAGAATGTTCTGGGCGAGGGGGGTGCGAGGAGTGAGAGTTGAATTGCTTGAAACTTGGTTCATTAGAATTATATATGTGTGAACATCCAAATATTGAATAATATTTTCTATCTTTTGTTCTTTCAGCCACAACACTAAAACCACATCCTGGTTAGATCCACGGTGCCTGAACAAAAAGCAGAAGCCTTTAGAAGAATGTGAAGATGATGGTAAAACAATTTGCATTTAAAATGTTGTACATTTTCTGCACACATGTATAGGTATAACGAATAACACCCATCGCTCCTTCACACCCCATTTTCTCAGTTTATTTGCACTTTATATTTCTGTGTAAATAGCACACATGTTCTCTTTTAAATGTAAAAATATGTTTTATAGTGATTCATATTTGATGAGTCTAACTGCCTTTTATAGAGGTTTTTGACCAGTTAAGACCGGTTGTCATGTCTCATTTATGCAGATTTATGAGAGATGTATTGTATTATGCTGGTCATACATGTGACAATACCGTAACTATTGCAGTTCAATAACCTATAAGCAAGCAATCTGTTTGCTTGCTGTTATTGTATCCTTTATATAGCTGTACCTTCAATTATGTACACTTGATAAGTATATATTCAATCTGCTGTTTTAGTCAGGTTGAAAAAAGACACAAGTCCATCAAGTTCAACCTATAGAGATGGGAGGAGGAAAAGAAAAAAAGAAGAAAAACCTAAAACAGAACGCTATGCCCACAATTACCCACTGTTGATCCAGAGGAAGGCAAAACAAAAACCCTATAAAGAATGGTTCAGTTTGCTGTAACAAGGGTAAAAAAATTCTTCCTGATCCCATAAGGCAATTGGATATATAATTTGATATTCAGGTTTATGCATTAAAACACTGCAAGGTGCAGAAACCCATAGCAATCAGATCCCAGATCGGTTAGGAAGGTATTTCTGTGTGGTTAATATGTATAAACTTTGAAAGCTATGATAGTTTATAAGGTAATACACCATAATTTATAGGAACAAATGTAAATGGTCACAAACTCCTAGAGGATTGGTTATAGAGCAGTATACTTCACTTGTACATAACTACCCAATTAGGGGGTATCTGAAAAATGTGTGATCCTTTCACAATGGAACTTCCAGTGTGCATTTCACTGGTGCCATATTGGTGGGCACCAATAGGGTGGTAAAGAGGATCTTGATATAATTGGGATTGCCCTTAGCTCATGCTTCCTTTGTTCCTCCTGGGGAGTCGCTCACAGGCGGAGACCTAACTGTATTTCTAATGTAAGTAAGTAAAGGGAGCGTGTCAGGACTAGAATTGTGGGGATGAAGTAGTCATCTGGCTAGGGCATCTGCATCTGAGCAAAGGTATTGCAGTTCTCAGCTACTTATACAAGTAACCCTAGCGGATCTTTTTATATTGGAAGTCATAACTGCTGGCTATATACTTTCAGTTAATGTAGTGTTGCAATTTAAAGTTAATTCCAGACAGGGGAAGGGTTATATGTCTGGGAACGTTCTCATTAAGCAGATCATGGCATAGCTAGTATTAACTCATCACATTCAACTGGACTTGTTCTGTAATGTTGAAGATGTGACGGGTCATAGTTTAAAGGATAACAGTCTTTTCACGTAAGGCCTTTTTGCAGGCCACAAATACACCATCTACTAGCATGCCAACTATAAGCTGATACCTTTACTTGTTAAAAAAGTGTACTCCATGCTTCCCAAAATGTAAGAGACCAATACAAGCATTGCTGCTTAAGTAACAAGGAGCAGTCCTAGTACGGTAGGAAGATGAGGATGCAGCCTCTGTCAGCCTGACACATAGTAAATAATAGTCAGTAGCAGATGGTCTGCATTTTTCTGCTTAAGTTATTGATGGACCGGTCCACCCAAAAAAGTTATTTTAGTTATAGATGGGGGTCTGGTTGGCTGAGCTAGCCCCTGGTTTCTTACACCTCTTGGATGCTCCAACAGTGACCTTTGCCTGACGTATAGCCACCTCTGTTCCATTCCACCTGGTAGTGTTGGTTGTCTCCTCCGACCATTTGTGTTCCAGAACCTCTTGTGATATTCTCTTCAGCATACAAAATTTAGCAGGGTGAGTGGGAGCCCTTAATAATGGTCGCAGCAGGTGCGTAGACCTGGAAACTTGGCACAAAGATCTCGCCTACAGACAGGGACGTCCCAAGGCTGGTTGCCGTGTAGTCATCACGCATGAGCGGCCATCTGATTGACGCTTGTCGGCGGCCATCTTGGTGATGGACGCCGGCAGAGAGAGGAGGGGACGTTCACCCCGCGGGATGAGGTATGCCGCCAGGTCCCCTCCTCTCTCCTGATACTTTTTGTAGGGGGTGGTGACACCAAAATGACTGCCACCAAAATGACTGTCAGTCATTTTGGTGTCACCCCTCTAATGGTGTCACCCAGGTGCGGGCCGCACCCCCCTTGTGACGCCACTGCCTACAGAGTACACAGGAGTCTATAAGAAACTGCCAGGTGTTTAAAGTTTCAGGCATCTGCTAAAATCTGAATTCTCAGTTTTGGATAGACTGACCATATGTGTACATGCGCAGTTAACTTAAACGCTCTTTGTGTTCAGCAATTGTACACTTGATTCTTGCATATCTCTAACGGGATCATAGGTTGGGGGGCTATTTTGGGAAACTTGAGACCTATACAGGTGTAGCCTATTTGAATCTATACAGCACAGACAGAAATATGTCTTTTTGAGTAGTATGATTTTGAAGCAGGGGAGGACTGGGCTAGGAGGCCTTTGCTCCAGGGCCAGTACTCTTTAGATGTATTGGGTTAGTGGCCCTGAGTGGAGTTATTTCACCATTCAGACCTTGATCAAAGCAGGATCTACAGTCAGAGACACATGCTGGGCTTTATATAGCTACCTGCTCCCCTTTTCCGACCTGCAATCACATCATCTAGAAGAGGGAAGTCTTCACACAAAAACCTTTTTGCAGCTCTAAGATGTCATTTGACTGAATGCCGAGAGTCACAAAGGGGGATGCTGGAAGATGTCAAGATGTTTGTCAAACTAAATCATGTCCTTTAAAAGCAGTCCGTTTTTACCATGCCACCCACTGAATGCAGCCCTATGTTATATTGACCACTTTCTTTAGTCCTCAAAAAGCCATCCCTAACGAGAAAGGGTAGTGTGTTCCCACCAGGCCAAAGGTTCCCAATCTCTTTTAGACACAATAGGCCTTATTTACTGAAGGAGTAGACCATGTTCAGTTTGCAAATTTAATTTTCACATAGCTTACTGAATGAGGTGAAGCCGTGTTCTGAATACCCAATTATGCTCAAAGAAAAAAACACATGATTTTTGCTTGCACATGATTGGATGATTGAGGTTAGCACAGCTTCACCTCATTCATTAAGCTAAATTAAAAATTAACTTCAGTAAGGGAACAGCCTATATTCCTTTAGCCTGTACAGGAATAACAGAATATTCTGTTTACAGGCGTTATTTGGCTACCATCGTTATTTGGCTAGCATCAAACATACAGGGAAAGGTACCATGGCACTTTCAAAAGGTCTACACCAACTATATGTAGCATATTCATCTGTTCTAAGGAGCGTATCATTTACGTTTCCGTAGATGTTCTTAAAGCATATACAGTAGAGATGCAAGACTGACAACTTGTCCAAGAGGCTAAAAGATTTTGTGCATAGCCCAAAATGCCTTGACCTTCTCCCCAACATTATTTTGTCATCGGCCAGGGAAAGGTAATTCTGCACTGCCCTCCTACGTCTGGACCCCACCAGAATTAGCAAGCTGAATGTGCTAATGGCATGAACAATGCCTGAGGCATTCCAGTGGTTAAATGCAGAATTTGTCTCGGAAAACAGCTAAAAATATAACTGATTCCAGCGACACGTCTGGATGTAAAAAGCATTTGTCACAGCTTTGCATTTGTATTATTCTAATCAATCCTTTATTACAACACTTACAACAGTTCAGAGACAGTTAAATGAGCAGAGAAAACCAGGCTGTTTTTTTATAATGGCACAAGGGTTATATATTGAGCCAGGCAGTAGACAGTTGTATGTTACTAATGCTGAATAAAATCAGGTTTGAATGATTTGCTTTTAAAGTACCGATCTAAGAAATGGAAAAGGGATTTAAGTTGTGCTAACTGGCTTTTGTTTTAATGTTTCCACTCGTGAAAGAATAGGTAGATAATGGATTATTTCAGAAAGTCTAATTTTTGTGTACAGATTTTGGAGATTGAATTAGTACATTTGTAAATAGCTTCCTTTAAAGTGAACCTTTTAGCCATCTTATATTTTTATTAATAAATTCCCACCTAAAAACACACACACAAACACACACCACAAGGTGCCTACCATTACATTTATTAGCCAGAGAACTTTGTACACATCTTTGAAAGTGGTTTTAACTAATGGATTGATTTTCCTAACTTAGGACTAAACCCTGCCACTGAGGTGCAAATTATTAAACATGGGATGGTGCCTGTCCATTTGGTTCTTAAATCAGGAAGCCCAAGATTTTAGTAGCAAAGTGAAACAGGCACATAGGTGTTTCTTTTCTGGTTAAATAGGACCTGATTCTAGAAGCTGTTGCCAAAAAAGCAAGCAGGGGGTAAAGAGCTAGTTACCTGTATTGCCCTTAGAATCCCTACATCTAATATTTTTCCAAGGACTGATTTATCATGTCTTGTTCACTGAAGCTACCCTTACATTTGTTAAATTTTGTCTGAGTTCTGCTGACGAAATTCTACCAGTGTGTGGCCCTGTCGGAGCTGGTCTGAAAATGTAGCCAATCGGCTGCACTGCTTGGGTACTAACAATGTGCCAAAAAGGCACAGAAGGCAGTGGACTAGTCACTACCATTGCCTTTTTACTCCCAACTGCTAATCCTTTCCGCATTACTGTTTCACCATGCCTTGTTCTGCACAATATCTTTGTGTGAAGGTGTCCATCTTGGTAGAGGAGCAGGGTTTTACTTCCACATGTCGGAGCTGCCCTCTGATGACTGCTGATCTTATGACTGGTGGGGTAGTAGTCAAGGACCAAAAGAAGAGTGGATGAAGCACAGATCCACAGGATGAATTAAGTAGAAACAGGGAGATCCTTGTCTCTACAGGTCTCACGGTTCAGCTTTCTCTCCAGCAAGGAGAACAGTGAGCATTACAGTGGTGACATCAGCAAATCTCATTCTAAATGTTACGAGACTTGCAGTCAGATGCAGCAGTGTCTTACATCATTTCAAATTGCAGATATACTGTAGAAGTTCCTAGGCACAGGAAATGTACTGTTAATTTCATGAGGAATTCAAAAGGTAAAGGTAAAACTCACATTAAAGGTACATTTTTGTAGGTTTTCTGCTATTTTCTCCTGGATAATATTAGCAATTCACTGAACTTCTAAATGTAAAGTGTTATACAGCATGTGCATTTCTTATGCTCTAAAATATTACTAAATGCCTTTAGTGTACATTTAAAAATAAGTATGGTTAGTAGTAGCTGTACATATTTTGGTAATATGGTTAAAAAAAAAGAATACGCTAAAGGACACAGCTATATGAGCAAAACAATTTTCAAATTATTTACCGGTCAACCCCGCCCTTAACTGGTATGTGCAATTTTGGTGGCTGCCATTGGTTTCAATGATAACATTTCCCCACAATTGTTTTGTGTTGTGTTTTTAAGTCTAAAGTAAAGCTGGCTATACAAATTGCAATTTTTGGTCGCTTTCAACTACTTTGGCGTCTTTGGCAATCAAATACAATCGCAAGTAATTTACCACCTATGAGTTTGTTCAAGCAATAGAATTTGGTCCGTTGGTAAGTCGAAACTGGGCAATAAATGTACAGCTTCAATACAGTTTATTCAAGAGTTGAAATGGAAATAATAGGACAACAATTTAGTTGAAAGCTATCATATTTTTCCATCAGGCTAGATTGGGGCAACCTCAATCCCTTTCTATGTGATCAGTTGAAACCACAATTTTATGTCTGCGATAGCTTTGTGATTGCCAAATTGCCATATGTATGGCCACGCTTGAGGGTTGTCACCCTTTGCCGACTGAATTCTCCCAGTCCTTGTTTATATTACATTATGGGGAATTTATTGGGATAGAGTGACACCAACAGTGATCTTGTAATAGCCACAGCATATGGAAAGATGTGGGAATTGTAGAGATATCTCGAAACTGATGTCCTTGAGGGACATAAAAAGCTGCCATGTGATTTACCTTCCCAACAACTATCCAAAACTTTCATATTAATTTATGGCGGAGTTGGCCTTTAAATACCTATTCATCTACATATATTTTAGAGTGAAATGCAAGGTCACAAAATGCTGTAGACTAAAAGTGTTGTTGGTTTTTGGGTGAAGGTGTTGACCTCATTATACTTCATTTATACTAATATTCTTTGGTGACAGAAATATCTGTATAGCTAAGTACAGGTTGAAATGATCTGATCTGTTACATGAGTGTTATTGCTAGTACTCCATTAATGTAATTTCTCTGTTTAAATGAAAAGCAAAATTAAAGACATTTTGTGGTAGAAGTTCGCATATAAATCCATAAATGGTAAAACAAACAAAGAAAAAAAACTCAGAGAAACCTGACTGAATGACAATCTGTGCAATTAATAGAGAAAATCATTTATATCTACAATTATTATTAATCATGAGTGTTTCTTAGTTTTGCGATCTCTGTGATAAAGTGCGCTCAAAATGAATGGGCTGGCAACACACTGCAACCTCCCAGAAACCGGACACATACTGTCACTCACTCACTTCCAGATCATCTCCCTGCGGGGAGCGGTGACTGACAGTCACCGCTCCCCGCAGGGATTCCCTCTTTCCAATCCTCCAGCACTGACTGGTGGAACGGACGGGGAGGGCACAGTTGACTCTGCCTCTAGATAGGCAGAACCCGCTGTCACTCACGCAGCTGGGTGGATTTTGACAGTATTGTTGGTGCTGTGGTGCGCTCGGTATATACTGAGCTTTGGGTCACTGGAGCAGGTTAGTATATGCCCTCCTGTGACCCTAAACGGAACTATGGAATAAAAAGGTTACCCCATAGTTCTCTTTTAAGCTTCAGCAGAATCCCCAGTATTTTTGTATTAAATAATGGGTGCATAATGATTTATTATACCCCTTTATTATTATTATTATTATCTTTTAGTCATTAGTCATGGTTTTGCTGTGTCTTTTTCAGATATTTTTATTTGGTTGGAAAATGTTAACACCAGAGTTTTTTTTTATTTTTAAGTTTCTAATTTACAAAAGCAGTAAATAATTGTTCCTGTTTTTCTAACACTACATGTCTGGATATAAGTCCCCAAAGGTAGCCTTCATTTTGAATCTGCTCTCATGTCATAATAGTGGCTCTGTGTTGGCCTCAGAATGCACTCGATTTGATCATTTCAACCTGATCTGCTCATTTCATTTTTATATATTTTCTGATGGGATTTTCCAGCTTGGTGTTGGTGTCTGAATTTATTTTGTTTTCATCTTTCTGTCTCATTTACTGCTCTTCCTTGGAGAAGAAGGGGTCCACACCGAGGAACTGGACAGTGAATTAGGTAATTTGTTACTCTCTATTTCTCATGCTGTTGATTTCTACCAAACATGTTTAAAGTGGAATTCCAGAAAGAATGTTTTTTCGTTTTCTGTAGGGTGAGAAAGAGTTAGTACACCTGTTAGATTTATTTGTTCTGTCTTTGTCCCAAGTTTGAGATATTCACTCTTAGTTTTCTGCATGGATAGTGCTGTTACACAGACTGAGAAGTGAGAAGCCTCAAATTTCTCACTTTTTACCAGAACAGGAGTGAAGAAAAAAATCTGTCAAGGGGAAACAGGTCTTGAAGCAACTCTATTTGAAATCTTCCATTGCTTAAAGCTGAACTCCAGCATAAGCAACTATGGCCTAAATACAAGAGTCATGTGTATTCTTCCCTGAATCTTGGAGTGGTTTGTGTATTCCTTCCAGATCTGTGCAGTAATGCAGTATGGAACGTGGAGCTTCCTGTAATAAAGACCAGTCACTGCTGCTCTCTCTCCTTGTGCAAGGTGCCTGGTCTTATATCCATCCCCTCCGGTAGTTTTCTGCAATCTGCAATGGGTGGGGCCTGATGATCACAGGGAGCAGATGATGATGTGGTGATGATGTCACTGCTACTTTTATAATATCTGGGTTTGCATTTGGTGTATACAAAGTTGACAGAGTTGATTTATATCCTATAGCTAATATAGGAATGTTTTATTGCCAAAGAAGTCTAGTATAGTTGTTAAAAGCTTGCCTGTTTGCAAATTTTGCTTGAGGGGTAAAGTTTCGCTTTTTTGAACTTTTGTTATCACTTCATATTGTGTCAACAGGGCAGGAAATAGAAGGAAATCACCCCATTGGGACAGAGACAGCATTTAACAGAGTTTCTAACCTTTCCTCACTCTATCAAACAGAAAAAAGTATTTGCTAGAGTTCCAATTTAATCCTTGCGCTCAGTATATAGTGCAGTATATAAATGTGTTGGTCCTTAAATATTCATTAATTCCTTTGAAGTTATATTCCTCTAGGTTCTTTAGTTTGCAACTTTTATGGACATTCTGTTTCTAACTGGTTAGAAAGCATCATGTGACCATGCATCAAAGTTCTGCTGCAGTTTGTTCATTTTAAACGTGTAACAGATATGTATAGACTGTGTATTTTTGTATTTTTGTATATTTATGAAATTATATTTGACCCAATTATTGCCCAGTTTGTATAGACTTGACCACATTACATTTAGCACAATAGTATATAAAACGGATATCCAGGAAAACTGGAAATAATCAGCAAGCCTGGTACCCTTTCATGTGACAGGGTCTTCCGCCTTGTAGCGCCAAAGCTTTTTGCAAATGCATGATGCCACCTGCTGGTAAAATCTGGTATTGTGAGCTGACTTTAAAATACAATTATTTTGTAAAGGGACCATTTTATCTTTAATGTCAAGCTACATCTGTCCAGCATTTCCATCAATACGATGAGCATACCACTGTTGCTTTGTAAGCACTAGCTCTTGTGGTCAACTGTATAGCAAGTAATGTGATTTTCATAAGTGAATTTGGCCTTAGAGTCTGTTTTCTGCAATTTGTAAACCTTACCTGTAAACTTGTACCAAGAGTAAGGAACAGTGAAACACCATCACTGTACACCACGAAAAAAGAAAATCAGGGAGCAGAATCTGCTTAGAATCTGCTTATATAACAAGCAAATATGGCTACCCC